GCTGCTGCAGCTGTCGCTGCCGATGCTGCTGCTGCTTCAGTTTCTGCTGCTGTTGCTGCGTGGCGTCCACTGAACAGCCTGATGGGCCCGCACTGGGACTAGCAGATGCCGGGGCAGAGCTAACGGAGGCCTCATTCTCCGATCCCCCGGGGGTTTGAGCTTCGCCGCGAGCCATGGGCTGCCACCGCCCTCTCTGGCCAGCCCGGCCTGACTCGGGATAGAAAGGCTCAGAAGGGGTGACATCGAACTCGTGACTAACGCTGCTACTGTTGTTGCGCCGGCTGCTCTGTTTGCTGCTTCTCGATGCCCCTCTCTGGGGAAAATCGTCGCGAGATATCTCAATTGAGAAGGAGCTGCTCATTTTCTAGCTCTTCGTGCCCAGCTTTGACCTTTCGCCGTTTGTGGTGTCGCTGTTTGGGAACAGCAAGAACCTCTTGGTGCCGCAGAAGACGTAATGTGTGGCTGGCACCTGACCTTGAGGAAAATCTTCGGTAGCCTTCTCATAAAAATGTGTGCACTGCTATCCTCCTCCATGCAAGATGAGAATAGGCCTGTATAGCAAGTATTCGAGTCTTCAACTGGTGGTGCAGTGCTGCATTGCTGCCGCCTGCGCCGGCCGCTGAGGAAGCATTACCAGGCTCTGCAAGCTGCGGCATCGATAAATGCAATGCCAGGTGTGTCCATCCATGTTCAGGATTAATGACTTCGGAAGACAAAGAGTCAAAGGCAGAAAAATAGAGATCTCTGCACCGTCTGCACAGATTGATGGACAGATAAGGACGAAACGGGCCACAGAGGAGCCGCGCGAAGTAGGCGCTGCCGCTATGAGCAGAGGCTAAGTCACCATATGGGAATACAAGAACTAATCATGCTTTGTGAGCTACAAAAAAAACTCTGAGTAGGGCAAACGGCCGCTGAACGCTGTCGAGCCTGAAAGTGCCTGATGCTATTGTCACCGCCTCCAGCAATCTTATGGAAGTCCCGGCAAAACCGTAAGCTGTATCAAGGCGTCCTTTTTAAATAAGAAATGCTAAACATCTTGGACAGCCACCTGCGCTATCCGTTATTTTGATTGAAGTACGAACACGTGAACGACGCATGCGATCGGGAGGCCCTCCACCTCTGCATTGCGGGGGCATACCCGGAACAAACCGCACAGCAGTGTTCCCAGCACTCATGGTTTACAGCGAATACAAGAAATAATCTTATCATGGCCAGGCTACTAGGTTTGCTGCCAGAGGGCCCGTCAGTTTCGGTTTACCTGACAGCCCAGCAGTGCACAGTGCACACAGCCGTACGCAGAACAGTGAAAATATACACAAAATGGAGAAGTAATTAACTTATCACGCATTGGCCACAAGTTTGTTGTGCTGAGACTCCGTCAGCTGCGGTTGACACACTTCCTAAGAGTGCACAGTGTGAGACGGCCTGCTTGTTCTGCAGCTGCACGCATTCCGAGGGGGAGTTAGGACCATTATCCTTCCATATAGGGCATTTCCTGTTTAAGTCGCCCTTTGAAGATAATCAGTTTCCTTGTGATGCATTCAGGGGGATGGGCCCTGCTTGTCGTACGCGTTACCGGGAGCGCCCTCGTCCCTGATGGCCTTGATAGTCATGACGTTTGTCATGCATTCCCCTACTCACAGCCCAGTGGTAAATGAAATTCCGAAAGCAGCCACTTCCTGGGGAAAAGTCCCAGAGAGCCAGAACGGAAAAGCGGATCCCCTGTGGTTCTTGCCAGAATACTTGCGACGTTGATGCACGCGGTGCAAACGACAGCACGTAACCACGCAGCTCAAAGACGCATTGATATAAATTGTAGGCCTTACCGATGTCTGTGTGGGGCCCTGGATGCACAGAAGGAAAAGCATGTTGTCCTCAGCCTAACAATCCCCACACCTTGCTCACATGAACTGTCCTGCTTCAGTTCTGACACAAGACAAGAAAGTCCACCTGAAACATCGGGTGTAAACTGGTGCTTAGGGAATGCTACTTGCCTCCGAACCAATACCCGCATGGCCCCAACACATTCTACTCTACAGGGGTGGAACACAAAGCGTGCCAAATGCTTCGTTTTTCGTCCCCAAACTCTTCACAGACGCCGACTTCGAACTCGGCCAGTCACAACCGTTTAAGTGATGTGTAGTGTTTGCTCTACTGGTTCCGCCGGTTTCTCTTCGCCTAACGAGTATAACTAATGCGTGAGAAATTGCCCCAAGGAGGCTTTGCGTGCTAGCAAGGTAGTGCAAACATGTACTGCCGCCGAGTGGTTGTTGAGTGAGGCCATGGGAGAGAAATCACTGTACATGGTGAGGAATCGCATCATCAGTTCATCCTGAAAGCCGTCGTCCTCCTAAGGTGGATTGCAGTCATCCTATGGGTGACCCCAAATAGCGAGCAAAGACCCCCAAATACCAGTAAATGCTCGTTGTAGCGCAAAAGAAGGGCTGTTAATGCAATGAATGGTTCAAAGCTGTAGTTTACTGGAGAATAGAGCAATTACACAATATTCCCTGAAAAGATGCGGTTAGTAGTTGTGGGTAGTATCAGCTAAAATTGTAGATGCCCACAGCCAAGCAATCTCTTTACAGTCCTTGCTGGATTTTACTCCACCTGCTTCAGGGTACAAATCGCTCTGGTGTGTGTCTCTACTTCTGTGCCATTTTCTGTTGTTGTTTTCTGCGTGTTTTCCTTGACGAGAAAAAAACCCATGCACAGCCAGCCTGAGGACGAAAGGCTTTAAAGACACAGCCCTTTCTGAGTCAGTGTTTGCACTCCTGCTTGTGTATGCTTCCGCTGGAGTAGAGTCAATAGTGCCTCATCCAGGGCTTGACGGTCGACAGCATTTCCGCCCCTCCTGACTGCCCTGAAGACACTTTCATTCAGCAGGTTTTCTAGGTCTGCCCCGCTGAGGCCCTCGGCAGCCTCGGCTATGACCTCTAGGTGGGACCAGGCATCTGTCCACAGTTGCATCTTTTTTCTTTTTGCATGCAATTTCAATATTTCATGCCGTTCTTCAAGTGATGGCAGCTCCAAGAAAATGTGACGATCAAAACGCCCAGATCGCAGAAGGGCCTCGTCAATGGCATCCAGCCTATTTGTCGCTCCAACAACAACAACACCACCAGCACCTCCTGTCACCCCATCCATTTCCATAAGGAACTGGTTTATTGTTTGCACATACTCTTCGTGTCCGCTGAATAAGCCCACAGGGCCTACGCGGCTACCAAGAGCGTCGAGCTCGTCGACAAATAACACACAAGGGGCCCTCTTCCTGGCGGCCTGAAACACCTCTCGTACCCTTCGAGCCCCTTGGCCCACAAACGTATCGACAAATTCCGATGCAGCGACCGACAAAAAGCCTACAGAGGCTTCTCCTGCTACCGCCCGAGCTAGCAACGTTTTGCCAGTGCCAGCCGGTCCCACCAGTAACACCCCACGAGGTAGCCGGGCACCCATTGCAGTGTACAGACCCTCCCCATTCAGAAGCAGTACAATCTCCTGGAGCTCATGCTTCTGCTTGCAGACAACGTCGGCAAAGGAAGTAGCGGGAGGGCAAGCCTCCAGCCCTCTGTCCGTGCCTGTGTCCTTCCCTCCCTTCAAAGGCTTTATTAGGGAGCGCAGTAAGCAAAACCAAACAATGAGAAAGAAAATGGGGAACGAGAAAGACAGTACGTCCGAGACTGTCGCCGTCCTCACAGACTGAAATCGGGGCACCTGCGCAGCCACAGCGCGGAAGAAAGCCGCTTCAGCCCCAGGAACGAGATGGGATGTTAGTTTTCTCTTGTCCTTCAAGAATAACAATAAACGAGACCCAGAACAGTACTGCACCTCCTCTACCGCATTAGCTGCTATCAGCTGCAGCACCTGTGAGAACGATATCTCATTCTGCGCCTTCGACCGTCGTCGGGGGGTGCACCAACCGAAAAAGGAGCCTGTGGGCATGGGAGGTATCCGTGAGCGAGTTCGCGGTGACGTAGAAGAGGTGGACGACACTTGTTCTCCAGGGACCCCGCTCTGGGCCAATGGACCTGCACTAGCTTGTCGGGAGCGCCGTAGCCGCAAAGCCAGTAGCATGACAAAAGCGACCGCAAAAAGCTTGAACTGATGTGCGTCAACTTTGGGGCATTTCTTGCTAAACAAAGGCACGATGCCAGGCATCCGGGTCAATATGTGAGAGAACGACGAAATAAACCGTTGGAATGAACGTAAGACAAACATAGGTGCCCGTAGCATGAAAGAAGTCATTTCATTTCCGTCTTCATCCAAGGCTCTACCACCTGACCCTGTAGCGGATAGCTTAAGCAGCTCGTCTTCGCACGGCGCGGCTTCTGCCTCTTTCGTTGTGACATTATCTTTCGAGCTGCTGGAGCTGTTGCAGCTTCTGTTGCCGTCGCTTGTGTTACTGCTGCCGTTGTTGGTTTCCCTGCCCAATTCGTCGGAAGTAGAGACACTGCTTGTGCTCTCGGCCGGTTTTGGTGGCCGTAGTGTACCCCCGGATCTGTTTAGATGCGGCTCGGGTAGCATTTGTTGCCTGCTTTGAGACGTCCGGCTGCGGCTGGCACTACAAAGATAAGGTGTGGCTGGATAGTCAGCACGGCGAAGAAAGATGCCAGATGGATAAGCAAATGGAGGCATAAAGTTTTGCTTGTTTCCACTTGTTAAAAGATACATATACTGCGCTATTTGACCAGCGTATAAAATAAATGAACTTCCCTTGGAGGGAGAGCCGCTGAGTGGTGATGCCAGGTAGGCTTGCCTGCAAGTGTGTGACACAACATGAACCTAGAAAAAAAGTCTTTCAAACATTTTTCGGGAGTTTGGAGGGAACAAACACATTTCTACATTTCCAGCATTCTTTTGTTCTTGCCTCCGCTTGGTGTTGCATGCAGCGGTGCTGTCTTACAGACCCAACAGACAAATGCATTAGGGAAGGTTTCAATTCGCCGTCGTAGCTTGAACTTCTGTTTAAATTCGTTCAATAATGGGCAGGAACAGCGATGACAAGTAAGCCGGAGTTTTTGAAAAAATATTTGAGGGGGCCCCGGCGACCTAGGGGGCCCCCTGTCAACCAAGGGGGCCTCAAGCTTCGTAGTGACGACGAGCTTGACGCCTGCCTAGTTCCCCAACAGAAGGCTTCAAGGGCCTGCACCAAGAAGACCCTCTTCAAGGTGCTGCGACGGGACGCCAACGGTGACAAATTTTTATTTGCCGACGAGGAAGCCGAGCCAGAACTGCCAGACTCAGAAGAAGAGGAAGTACACGTAGTGGGGGAGGACGGTCAGACCCTTGCTTTAAATGAGGAGGAAAAGAAGAAGGTAGCCCAGCTGATCGCTAGAGAAGAGGGCTGGGATCGGCCTCTTGGCGGGCCCAAGGAACCCAAGAGCACCAGGGAGGGGGCTACCTCCGAGATAGAGAACCCAGAAGTGAACAATGCATGGAAGGAGGTCTTTGCCATTGATGAATCTTTGGCTGAACGTGCGGTGTCTCCAGTTGCAGCTCCTTCTCCCTATGACAAAAGACGGGCGCGAAGAGAAATTCCAGCTGACAGCCCGCTTCCCTTAACACAGACAGACCACGACCCTTCGCCTCAGAGGAGGACAACTGAAAAATGTATTGCATCACGAGGCAGGAAAACGTCTCAAGATGAAGATCTGTCGCTACACAGAAAGGGCAGCGACAGAGATCTTTCGCCTCCCAGAAGGTCGCAGTGCCCTCTTTCCCTCGAGCGTGAAGGAGGAGACAAAGATTTGTCTCCTCCGAGGCGGCGTGCATCTCCTGCTGCATCTTTGCGTGGAGGCGGCAGCTCCAGAGGTCCTGACGCCCATCTCGACCCAGCGCTGGAACGGGACGCTAGGGATCGGGACCTTTCGCCGCCAAGACGCCGCAGAGAAAGCGCAGCCCAAGGAGATGCGGAGGGAGAGTAAGACTTTAATTGTTCTATGATTCTTCTTGCTGTTTGTGTTTTCGTGACCATGGTTTTTTCTTACACTTGACTTACAGCTCCGTATGGGAATTCGCAGCGTTACCTTCTAGTTCGTTGTTAGGTGGCGGCGATGTTTTTACTCTGGTGTGTTTTAATGTCACATAATACTTGCTCTAGGGTTAAGGATTTTTGGGTGGGTGCAGCAGTCATCGAAGAGGTGAAATACCTGCCAGTCGGGTCATCTTTCGAGACAGAGAAGGACGCATTATATCTGAAGAGGAGTGGCTGACCCTCGAAGTGCGGTTACACTGTATGGGCGTGCGGCTGATAATGTACCGCCCAAGGCAAATTTATACACAAAGCATGTGCTCAGGCTTCAGGGTTGACGCTGTTGCATTTAGATTTTAGGGTTTCAGCAATGTGCAGGCGGGCGCTCGTATGTGTGGAGTGTCACTTTGGGAGGTGAACCGTAAAATTTGTGAAGTAAGAGCTGAAGCTGCTATTTGCTTATGTCTCTTTGTCCAGTTTGTGTTGGTTTTGGTGCTATGACCCTTCAGGGAGCAAAGGGGAGGAAAAGACAGCGGGAGAGAGGCCCTGCTCCGGTTAGTGTGCTCTTAGCATGCTGGTGCTATGGTAATCAACAGTGAAACATAACAGGGCCTATCACTTTCTGCTGACCAATCATGAGCCTTCGTGGTTGAGTATTTCTTGAACTGTTTTCCTGATTGTATAGGTACTCGAATGGGGCGCCGGTCTCAAGCAGAAGGAAGACTTGGAAGCGAGGAAGAAGGAAGAAGAGAAAATCGCAAAGCAACCATTCGCGAGGTGAAGTGTCTGCATTTGCATTCAGAGATCCTTTTAGCTGCACGAAAATAACTGGAAATGAAGTGGGAGATGCGTCTGTGTAGAAAAACGAGTTGCTCTGTGTTGCGTCATTGATGTTTGTGCTTTCTCCGCGGGTGCGGATCCATCGTGTCAGGGCCTTGATTTCTACTCACTGTCCATTCCACTTATTCCAGCAGCTTACATTTTGCCTTTATCTGCGCAAAGGGAATTGCTATAGGACTTGAGAAGGGAGAGTAGAGTAGGAGTGGATAATACATCTTCGTTACGTTTGCGAGCCTTCTTACGTGAATTTATATGTGGCCCTCCTGCTGATGTGCTTCATCCCAGGTATGATATTGACGAAGAACACGACGCCGAATTAAGAGCACGCGACCGGTGGGACGATCCGCTGGCGAAGGCGCCGTCGAACACAGCTCAGGGCCTAGGCCGGAAGCAAAAGGGGAAAGAGGACGTAGATCGAGAGAAAAAACACCGTAAGATAGCTCAAAGCCCATGGAGCTTTACGTACAAATCAGAGGCGCTTATCCAAAATCAAATTTGGATAGAGGGCAGGGTCCAGTGCTGTCATTTGTCGTTCCTAAAGAATTCGCAATTAGCATGCGCTGCAAGGCCACCGCATGCTGCTTGTTCTCTGATGAGCGCTGCAGTTGGTGCATTTGCTACCTGCACTGAGTAACAGTATTCACTGTGGTATTACCAGATGCCACACGCGGAGCACTTAGAGCAGGGAGCATCGATAGCACAGCAAGCTAACTGCAATATAAACAGCTTTCTTTGAGGCCTACCTAGCCGCACGGATTGTTCATTTGTTTTCGTGCTCAGAGAGGCCAAAGTGTCCCCACGACGCTCCACCCAACAGGTTTGGTATTAAGCCTGGCTACCGGTGGGACGGAGTCGTTCGCGGGAATGGCTACGAAGAGGAGCGTTTAAAGGCATTGTGCAAAAACTCGTGAACTGGCCCTAAAAGGCCAGGACCCGCAGCAGCAAGATAAGCACGCGAAAATCTTGAATTCCAGCAGCAAAACAATAGACAAGGCGAATTCGCTTGCAAGCTTCTAGGGCCTCCGCGTCAGGGTCCTGGTGCTTGGGGTATTACATTTCGAAATGGAGGTTTTTTGTGGTGAATGGAGCTTTTTGTAGACGGCTTTCGCTGCAGTTACACTTAATCGTTCAGCCCACTAGCTAGTTACCCTTATAATTTACTTTAATCCACTTACTTGAGCTTGGAGCCTGGCTCCGCTTCCCAGAGTCTGTGTTGCTGCGTAATTAAGTAGTATGTTTGGATTCATGGTAAGAGATGCAAATAGTAGAAATGTCCGTCTACAGCCTAGTAGCCAATTCTCGCGGTATAGTGCTGCGTATTTTGGGTCAAGTTTTCAAACCTCGGCGCACACAACGAACAGACAGCAGAAACCAGAGGCGCACCGAAGGCGGCGGACTGCTAAGCAAAGCGTTTGCACTATGGTTAGTTTTGCTGCAATCACGGCGAACCGTACTTTCTGCGAGCTTCGCTTACGTTTTTCATGAACGCCACCACAGTTGACCCCGTGAGCTCCACTTCCACATTCCATCCCCGAACACAGAGTCTGCAGGGCACGATGGGCCCGTTTACTTGTTGCTATTTTGCTAATGTACGCATTCGGAACGATGTGACCCTGGAGGTCATTTTTGATCACATTGTCGTGCTTAATACTGTATATTAGGGGTTACACTGGGAATGCTCTGTCTAATGATTCAATGTTGCAAATACAAGGATCAGCGGAGGCAGCTGCGTGAAACAATACAATCTCGAGCTAATACTGCTAGGGAGGCTCCGAATCAAGCAGTTAGGATACTGGCTGCAGGTGTCATTTGCTGCTTTTTGCCTACTTGAGCAGCACAGTCTGCCCAAGGGAAAGAGCTTTGCATTGATATGCTTTAGTGCGATCGGCTACAAGATGTTGTTATTCTTGCAACATATTCAAAAAACGGATTGCAAGATCCGTTTTTTGATCTTGCAAGGCGACAGCCCTAGCACCGCATGGTTTCGATCCATGGACCTGGGGGTTATGAGCCCCCCACTCTCCCACTGAGCTACGGTGCTTCTGCCCCGTGGTCACGAGTAACTGAGTCGTTTCGCATGCACGAAATTAGAGGAAATGAACTGCAATGCTCCTGTATGCTCCTCGAAATATGACTCGTTACAGTGAATGTAATTGTTCTTAGAGAGCACGCAGGCTATCGACGCACACTTGCAAGAACGAGTTTATTTGCATGAGAAAATTTTTGCAAAAAAGCCTTTTACTGAGGCCGCTAACGCGTTACGAGGTGAGAAAAAACTTCACACTTACTGGTAAGGCTGCCTTTAAAGGCGCCCAGCAATAGATAGGCATGACACTGTCATTATAACGAGCAATTTTTTGATTTGGATGAAATCGCAAAACAGTGACGCAGTCCACGGGCGTGCCTTTTGTGACGCAACTGTATTCTCTATCCACATCAAGGCACAGGATAGTAGCAGAAGCACCTAGGAGGTAATGCATTCCTCATTAACATTATCACACTACTTAGATCGAACACTCGTTTCACTGAACTTCCCTATGAAAGCTTGAATGAATCGAGAATTTTCACATTGGTAGATCAGCCATCCCCTGCTGTGCCAGCAGGCCGTTCCATCTGGGAGAACAGCTGCAGCCTGTGTTCTTTACTCATTTACTTTCATTCACTTCTTCTGGACAGCTTCTGCTGGGCAGAATAAATGAGAAACACAACCAGCGCTCAGCATGGCAAGATGTCGCTGAGCCCATTTGGCGCTGACTGCTTAATGCCTGCAGTGCCTGCAGAAGTAAAAACCTCTGCCAGTTTACTGCCAGGTTTTGACCCCATGGGGTATAGTGAGCTGCGAAGAATTTCGCCCGTTAAGTAATGACATTTCCCGTCATTGTACTTTGTGTTGCTCAACAGGTGTCATTCGGGGAGACGAAAAATTTGAATAATCTCTTTCTACCGGTACAGGATTCATATTACTATTTTATTTGAGACGGTTTTGCGTTGTTGAATAACCCTTAGCTCGGCAAGCAGAGGAAGCACTCAAACTCGACTTTGAGCTTCCCAGCACTCCCTGACGAAGAGGAAAAGACCTCCTTACCCATGCAATATTTGAATTTCGCGTTATATGGAGGTGTCGAATGAAAGGCGCTAGTGATTTTACAGAGTTGTTGCTGGATGGCACCAGGACGCTACGCACTCTCACGCTTGTTTCCGGACGAGGGTGTTTTGAGCTGCAGATATTCAATATTGTCGGAATCGAATTTGATTTGGCCCGCGGTGGCAATATGTATTTTCCCTGAGGTTTTCATTCCGCAGTGGGGCTTGTGTGAGCAGCGGCCTGCCAACGTCATGGCCTGCTTGCTGCTCGGACGCACGCAAGAAAAATAATCGTTACCCTTGAATCAAGTTGTTAAGGTGCTCTTGTACACGGAGGGTATTGAATGATCTTTTTTTCGAGTGTTCTACGACTCTGGGAAGAGCTGGCTTCCAAGAAACGTCGCGTAATTGAATGCCGGTGACAGCCGACAACGTTTCGGCAGCTCTATCTGACGACTACCTGTTACACCCAGTTCTACTTTCTATTATTTTTTCTATTACACATTTAGCAACACAGAATACATCTTTAAGTTCTCTACCCCAAGCATTGAACCAAAAGTCGGGGGTGAAGCCGTTCCGTCTGCGCTCTTGAGTATCACACGGCTATCATTTGTTGCCTTGTTGGGGCTTGTGTCTGGATCAGTAAATACAGCCAAGCGCGTTTCATGAAAGATTATATAATTTCAGCTAAGCTTTTTTTTGGTGCTTGACACCGGCCTTGCTCTCCAACAGCCGTAACCTTGCGGGCGTGGGGTGAAGCTGTCCAGTACGCCCGGAGAACCATTGAAAAAGGGAGTTTTCCGTTTATGCGGTCCTGCTCTACATAAAAGCGCTCAATTTGTTTGAATCGTTGGGAGTGGGGCAGGAAATGGACCCAGACCTGGTGACACAGGCAATTTGCTAGGCGGGCCGTTTCCGTAAATATTTCAGACAGACAGCAGGAGACAAAAACGGCGGCTCTACCCTTGCCTGCAAGCTGTTGGTTTCATTGAACAAGATTTGAGTAAAGGCAAGCTCTCTGTTTTTTTAAGCGAACGGAGTACAGATAGCCCATGCTCTGTGCTCACAGGGAAGTGCCGAACATACAGCCGCAAGATGTCGCGCGTGCTCCGTGCTGTGCGCCATCTGCGAGAGGCTGCAACCAAGTTTACTTTTTGCATTACCGTCCAGTCCCTCAAAATTAAATTGGGGGAGCCAGCGGTTGTCGTCGTGGATCTCACTCGAGGCAAGCGCGCTCTCGCTGCTCCACTGCCCATGACACGCGTACAATGTTCCCCCTGTTGGTGCTCTTGCTTGAGCCCTGTGCTGTTGCCGCTGGCTTTTGGTGCTATTGATCCTAATTTAGCCCTCATCGGTGCCAGCGCTGCTGCCGTTGTTGCTGCTCGCTCTGCCGATGCCACCGTGAAGCTGTTGGTTATGTTGCCTGTCTCTTTGTAGGACCCCGACGGGTGCGTGGGAGTGCTACCATTGAGTTGGCGAAGGGAGATAATGAAATTAATCTCAATATTCCGCTTCAGTGCAATGCTACGCTTTTTAAGCCCAAAGGAAGCCCGGAGAGCAGCAGTAGCCTCAAGCGGTCCAAATCTAGAGTTGACCCTGCTGCAGAAGCTGCTGCACCGGGAATCGCGGGAGCCGATGGAAGCTTGTTTCTTCCAAAAAAGGCAGAACTGCAGGTGTGATTAAAGGAGGCCCTCTGTGACTTCGTTACCGTCTTAGTTCCTGCGCTTTACTCCCCCCCTCTGTTTATTTTCCCTTGCATCAGTACTGAGCTTTTACCTGTCCAAATTAGTCGCCATCTGCCAATGCATGTCGTCTGCGAGGTCACGTATCTATGTCCACTGTTGTCTTGGTTGTACTGTTGCCACTGTCGAGTTTGCACCGCTTGGCGCAAACAAAAACAGCCTTTCCACAACCCACACGATTTTCTGTACAAACAAACAATATTTCGGCGCTGCTTTAATATATCGGATGCTGTGCCTGCCTGATTGCTCATGCTTTCTACCTTCCAGCTAGTGGACATTTCTAAATCTCGTCGGCTGGGCGGGCGTCTACTGCCTCGAGTGCGCCCATCGCCGTCGGTGTCTTCTTCTTCAGTTTTGCCTCGCGACCATTCAGCTGTTGCTCCCGTGTCTTTGTCCCCTGAGACAGCGGTGGACACAAGAGAGACGGGAATAGTAGTGGCTGGGGCATCTTTTGACTTGGCGTCTCTTGTTGCCGCTCACAAGACAGGAACTAATACTCAGTCACTGGAGCTGCCTCTTACAAAGACAAGCGGGCACTTTGTTATATCCTTTTCGTGCACGAAGTTAGAGGGACTCATTGCGGGTCAGACGTGGCTCAAAGACTCAAAGAGTGCTAACAGCGCTTTTTATCACTGCTTTGCTCACTTGCGTGATTTTAGCGCCTGCTGTAGCAACTGAGTCGCTGCCTTTCGCAACCCTATTACGTCAGCGTCCCGTTCAAGCTGTCCAGGAGCAGCTGTTGCTGGTGGAGTTGCTGTTGCCGAATTGGCCGCTGCTGTCTCTGTGTGTTCGCGCAGATGAGGAAGACTGCCTGTCTGTTTGTTCTGCTCTTGTATCTCCACCACCAAACACACGCCTGTCCCATGTTCAGGCCACTGAAGGCAAGACCATCTGCTGCTCGTCCGAGTAACGTGATCTTCCGCTAAGCTACGCTCGCCCAACCCTTGTCAACCTTATGCCTGCGTTTATGTACTGCATGCGTTTTGCAATGCTGCAGCCGAGGCCTCACCTAATCCACAGCCGTCAGCTGGGACTAAACGATCGTTGACACCTGCAGCAGCAGCAGCACTACTTGCTGGAGTAGAAGCTGCTCAGCCCACGGTGCTGCGCCTGCCGCATAAGGATACACTGCCTTCTTCTTTAGAAATGCCGACTTTCGAGGAAACTGCACCGAAACAGCAGCGGCAAGAGGCAGCAGCCACTCCGGCAGTCAATGATGGGGCAGCAAAGACTCCCTCCATTGAGAAACTCCAGCGACCAGTATGTCTCCACGGCAGCTAATGCCAGCCCTATGTGCGTTTTTGTTATTGCTTCGGATGTAAATCTTTGAGTGCGGCATCTTTTGCTGCTTCTGCTGCTGCTTAGTTGCAGGAAGTTGTGTCAACGGGCACTGCGACCACCCCAGCGGAATTGTCTCCTGCCGAAAGCCAGCGGCAGCAGAGGCAGCAAACACAACAACCACAGCAGCAGCAACAGCAGCAGCAGGCTGAGCTGAGACAAAAGGATGAGCTGATAGCGAGTTTGCAGCGGCAAGTAGCTCTCATGGAAGTATGTAACAGCTTCATAGCCGCAACAGCAGCAGCATCACCCCATTGGGCACAAGCACTAGCATAAATGGATGCAATGCTTCATGCATCACGTGTATCAGTAGAAGCGCAGGAAACACGAGCCAGCCAGTTGTTTTGCTTCTTCGCAGGCAGAGGATCGGCATATGACGAACCCCCAGTTGGCGCAGCTGTTTGCTCAGATTGACGAGCTGCATACAGCACTTGCTGCAGCGCAGGAGCAGCAGCTTGCAGCAGTAAGAATCTGCACGATCAGCACTAGTCGTAATGCAGACGACCACTGCAGGGTATGCAGATGTTGAAACAAATATGACGGATCCGGCTTAGAAATACATGATCAAAATCTAAGCTGCTGATGCGTTTGCTGCTGCTAGCAGCTAGCCATTGCTAGTTATTGTACCTTTTGCGCAGGCTGAGCAACTCCAAAAAGTGAGAGAGAAGGGAGATGGTAGCGCGGCAACAGCTGCGCTGCAACAACAGCTGCACGCAGCAGAACAACGCCTGCAACAGCAAGAACAGCAAATCCGCGAACTTACGCTACAGCAGCAGGAGATGCAACAGAAGAGCTGCGAGCAGCAGCAGCAACTGCTGCAGCTGCAGGCTGAAAGGGATGGCATGCAGCTGATTGCTGATGCCTACAAGGTATGCTTTTGTTTGTTGTCGCTGCTGCCGCTGCTACTTGTGGCAGCAAGCTGCTTTCACTGCATCACGGGAAAAAACGCACTTATGCGTTCCTTTGACCAACGAGATAATCAAATCGTTCGAGTTTGGTGCAATCCTTTGTACTGCAGAAACAGCTGGAGGAAGTCCATAAGCAGTTGCAGCATCAGCCGCCACATACGCTACAGGAGGAGCGGATGGTAATCCTGTTGCAGAAAGTAAAGCAGCAGGAGCAGGAAATTCAACAACTTCAAAATAAACTAGATTATGAGACAAGGGAAAAATATACAGCCCAAAACGAAGTACGACTCCTGCAAAGGCAGTTACATGAGCAGCAGCAGCTGCAGCACACCAAGGGCAATTCTGACTCCGCGTCAATCCTTCAGGAGCAAATCATTTCACTCCAACGGCAGGTATTACTATGTGTATAAGGTTAAATTACAAACCAAAAAGGTAGCTTTATCTGTCCGACTGAGTGCCGTCATTAGAGAATGTCTCGCAGTAACTGCATTGTCAACGACAACGGTATCACGTGCGTTGCGTCATTTGGAATATCCTTTAGGCTCGCATCACTATTGAGAGCGGCTTGCTTGCATTTTGCGGATGTTGAAGTAAGTAGTTTCATTTTGAAAGTATCTGCAGGTTGTGGAGGCGTCGGAAATGAGAGAGTCGCTTCGCGTTTCTAAAGACCAAACAATTGGTGATCTCAGGAAGGCCCTTCAAGAGATGCAGCAAAAACAAGTCAGCTCTTTCAGCAGCATTGCCTCACTACAGGTGGCAAGGGAGAGGCTAGTATACGCGGCGAGAACAGAAAAAACAACAGTACGACGGGCATTGTCGCACTGCGCTGCTATTTTTCGTGCCCTGTCCGTAGGGAGAGACGCAGTCCGTACACCAGCAAGCGCTGCAGAAGCTAAACGCATCTAGAGAAGAGGCGGAAGCTCTCAGGTAGTTTGACATAACGACCAGCCAGGACACGACTAGAAGTTGCTTGCACGTTTTGGTGTAGCAGCGGCTACGCATACTTCGTACCTTGCACAGGAACTTACCGCCCTCTAATATCGCTCCCATCACATTGCTGCTGTTCATGTGCAGGGAAAAAATTCGCTGTCAGGAGGAAACACTGCAGCGGCTTCCCACGCAGGCAGCCTGGTCCTGTGCCCAGCAGCAACACCAAATGTTGCTGCAGCAGCAACGGGAGTGGCAGCACCAACAGCAGCAGCAGCAAAGGCAGCAGGAATTCGAGCTTGCAGCCAAAGCAAAGCGCATAGAAGAGCTTGAAAAGGTGACGCATAGAGCATAGCTGACTAAGCGTGCGCTGCCATTGCCGCTGCCTAAGTTTGATGCTGCATATAACTTCGTAAACTATATTGCCTCTGACTTTGTGGCGTATCGTCCAGCTATTGTTTTCGAATTTCGGTCAGTTTTTTTTGGTCGTGAATGCCTCTTGCTGCATGCCTTTACTACCGTTCGCGTGACTGCTGTGCCGTGTTTAGGTCTTTGGGTTTTCTGGTGTGTCTTGATAGGAACTGGTCCACGCCAAGGTGGAATTGGCTGCGGCGGAGCAGCGGCGACACGAAGACATTGATGCTTTCAAGAAGAAATTGCAGGCCGTCAAGGAAACCGTGGTGGCCTACGCCGCTGCTTCCAGCAGCAGCCTTCAGGTGCAGGAACGATAATATTTCTTTAGCAATATTTCGGCATCGAACAGCACTTTACAGCGCAGAAGAGAAGCAGCTTTCACGACAGGCTTGCACATTTGTTATCTTCCCAAGGGAATAGAATATCGAGAAATACCTTTTGTTGTCTGTGTTGAAGTTCGTGACCGTGTGTCGCCGCAGGCGCAGTCGTCTCCTAACTCAGGAAGAGAGGCAAACCCAAATAGCAGCAGCAGACACAGCGGTAACTCCAACGAAAAAAACAGTCCCGTCAAGCGGTTAGTGCACATCAGTACTTTAAAGGCACTATTTCGTTCTGGGACCTCCAGCCGCCAACCCTACAGCAGGAGTAGGAGCAACAGCAGCCACTTCGCCCCAAATGCAGCTACTGAGATGCGGCCTTCCGGAGCATCCGCAAACATCTGCGCACAACACAGCTATTCTATGAGCCGCGGTCTTAATGATCGCAGCAGCAACAGTGTTGCAACTAGCGGCAGCAGCAGCAGCAGTAGCTGCAAGGGGCCCTCAGCATCCGTCTCCTTGTTTGGCAACCAGCCACTCGGAGTGGTTTCTAAGGGCTCCTCAGTGACGCGATTCTGCGCCTCAAAAGGTGGTGGCTGCAGCGTCATCTCAAGTAGTGTGCCTTAAATGCCTCATTTCAAAAGTGTGACACGCGTTGCGTCCTAGCCTTTGTTTGATGGTTGCACCTAAATCACAGGAGCTAGATTCCGTCTAGCTCATTTTTTGTCTTTGCTTTCAACATAACAGGTTTGCCGCCAGCGAAATACGCGCTTATTTCGAGAGTCAACAGTGCGGCCTTGCGCAAACAGGCCAGACTAACTACTGGGCTTTTCAGGCAAACGGCCAATTAGTGAGCAGACACCCAGCTATGTACTGCCTTTCCCTGTGAACAAAACCAGGGAAACTACTAGGTCCGTAAACTTGAGAGTTCCTTGACAATCCTAACCGGAAAAAGCCTTACAGCTGTTCATATAACTGGACCTTCACACTACGGCCATTCGGTAATGGAAAAATGAAAAGGACAAAAAAGATCTCCTCAAAATGCCGTTTCTACAGAGCAGGGACAACTGTCTCTCCACCCGAGCATCCCACCTCTGGCCACCTCTGGCCACCTCTGGCGATAAAACAAAAAAAAACGCCAGTGCGAAGGAGCGACACAGGAGAGGAGCAACGGCGGGCAGGTAAACGCCTTGATGAGCTACTGGACGTTAGGCCTCGCCACTGCGACCTCCACATTATTGTGTGCACTAAACCCTGCTCACAAAGCACAAACAGGCAGTGAAACCGACTTCTACAGTTGTTACTGACAGCGATTTCTGCTGTTTCCTCTTCTGCGGCTATCAAATTTGCCACTTGCCACACTAGTCCTGCTACCGTTGCCTGCCCGCATTCACTCGCGAAACGCACCTGTGCCCCCAGGAATAAGAGCCACCGTGTCTTTTCTATCAATAACTCCCGACGTGAGTGCTCCTTTCTTTCCAAAGACAAGCTTCTCCAGATACTCCTACGCAGCCGTGCATCAATGCAGCTATACTTTCGCACCGTGATGCTTCGTAAGTACGTACAATAAAACTCAGAAAAAAAGGTCAAGGCAAACAGGAAACTCAGAAGAACCCACCACGCACCTCAACCACCCACCAGAATGCAACGCAAATTTACAGAGCAAATTACTAAGAAGGCTCAAATACACCTACCCGCGCCGAGGCAAAAATGCAAGTGCATTCTACAAACTTCACAGGTCAAATATACGGGCAACCAACGGAGCAGCAAAGCGTACGAGAAGGATAACTTGGCCTGTCGACTTTACAACCGCCGCTTTCTGGTGCGAAATTTCACGGCCGCTTAGTGCGCAGAGCCATCTGTAGGGAACACAACAGAGCGGATAGCAAACAGGAGCTCCACCTTGGGTCACAGGAATCGGGACATTTCCCTGCTTGACGGCATATAACAGGCCAAAGAAAAGAGCCGATGTACGCCCAGATAAAGAACCTAATAAAACAGAAAGCAAAAAAAGAAAGCAGTTTTCTCACCGCGTGTTTTCGGTGTCTTCTTTGGAAGCAAGAACTGGCTTAACAGTGATAAGCTGCTTGATGCGTAGTGGGGCCCCCGTAATGGGACAGCAAAAACCTCTGAAAACGAAATAAAACACGACGCAAAAATGGACCACTTGAAGCAGTAGTAACATTTTGCAGGCGCAGCAGCACGAGCACGGTCTCAAAAGAAGTGCTGAAAGGGACACTGACTCCCGAGGGAATAAACGCAACACCAGCGCTTTTCTAAAACAACACACTTCTAGACAAAACGTGCGCAAGCGCGGGCACAAAGAACAGGAAGCTACGTACGTGAATAGGAACGACCAGTTCAAGTAGAATAATCCAGACCAAAACAGAATGTGGCACGTAAACTCACTTCTGGGGCTCCTTGAGCTTCGCCTCAGGCTCATCTGGTGTGTTCTCAGGCACCTGAACGCGGCAAGCAGAGCCCATTAATACCACACTACAAGCTTTACACGTAAGCGAAAGCGCTGAGGAACTCCTCTGCGCTTCCGCAACGAAAAAGCATTACAAACAAGCCAGACCTTCCACTACACTAACAGCCATTACAGTAGGCATTTGATTCCCTCCCTACTTTCCGTTCAGACCTTCAACCCTTCGGCGAACACATACCCAGAAGTTCTTCGCCCTTGCCTCTTCCTTGGAGTTGATGGTAGGCTGCTCCAGAGTTTGTCTCTGCAAACATGTGCTTGAACCTGCGGCGTTATAACGTTTATAGCTTAAAATCTGCTTCTGAACCCAAGCCTTGGCACAGAATTCAAAGGCTACACGCTGCAGGATCCGCATTTAGCCTAATATTTATTATCTGAAAGAAAGCCCGCAGGTACAAGGGTTGGGGGCCAGGGTTCCAACTTTGGTATTTGCCTACAAATTCTTCTGCACTTTGAGGACTATTTTTTGTCTGGGCAGGCGCAGCAGATGTTTCCAAGGTGAGAGAGGCCTCTGCCTCTAGGAACGCGCGTTGCGCCGCTGTAGCGTTTGCCTCTGCTGCAGCTGCTGCCTCCTGACAAAATGACGGTGCACAAAATAAACTCAGCTTAAGCCAATCCGTTTGGAGCAAGACGCATGCGAAATTTGCGATTGGTTAGCGCAGTTGAGTACTAACACACGTACTCAACTTATGAGGGTTCGTGCCTTCGTTGTTGTACGCTCTTCATGGGTATGTATATACATTGCAAGCTCTAGTATTCTGTTTAGCGCCGGAAGCTGAAGAACTACATTGTAGAGTCAGTAACTTGAGGCTTGCCTGTTCCTTTTGTGCCTGAAGAGCCTCCCAAGCCTTCGTCTCCTTCTGGATTTTTTTCTTTTGAGACTCAAAGTTAAGGAAGAGGCATTCCTTGCAGAAGATTAGGCCCTGATATTAAAGATACACATTTTTGAGGCGGAACTCTCACGAACTTTGCGGTGTGTCACAAGACTTTAATACTACGTCCTGTTCTCCGCGGACAAGGATAACAACAAACTACCTGAGGGGTCGCCAGAGGATTTCGGGCCGGGCTGAGGCAAAGCCAACAGCTTTCAAACCGCCTGCATGCGCGAGTGTCGAGCCTTCCTTTTAGTGTCCCAACTCCCAGAGCTGCAAAAGCAAATAGGAATAAGGAGAGGGACATTACCTCATTACGAGACATCTGGAAACGGCGAAACTGCGGAAGGCGAAGCTGAGCTACTCTGTGCTCCATGTAGCTGGAGCATGAGGATCCGAAATTTTCCACTCGTGTCTGACCGCGGATCTTCTTGCGCTCGTGGTAAGAATAGAAAGGAGCAGATGTTGCGTTTTTACTGTGGCGAGCCATTGCTCTGTTCTCCCTTGGCGATGTTCAGCTCAGATGGCAACCACAGTCATTAACGGGTGGCAAGTATAAGAAATTGTAGGGGTCAAGTCGCTTAGACTCAATTCACATTGCCTGCCATGCAACCTGTCTTGGAAGGCTTAAACTCAAAGAGCCGACAATTGAAAGGCCAAGAAACGGAATCCACACAATACATACAAACTCATTTTACATGGGTTTACCAGTAAAGTAGTTGTAGCAACCTACAAGTGTGGCCCTTGCGTAGTGAGGGGCCCATGGCAAGCCCCAACAGGAGAGCCTACTACAGCGAGGTCGCAATTCTGGCGTTTTGTCCTCATTCTACGGATCTTGACTGCTATCTTTTGTTGTCTTAAATACATTTCAAGTGGCCGCATTGGTGCTTTGAAGCATCTGTGTGCACCGACGGTGGGCTGCGGCCTCATGTGCCTCAAGGGCGGAAGGGCGCGCTGTTGACTTTACTTAAATTTTGCTCGTTTCGTCTAGAAATTTTTGTAGAACACTAAGTCTAATGGGATCAGGCGTGTATAGAGAGGGCCTTGCTCCCTTCGTGGAGGCCCTCCACAGAACGCAGCAATGCCTGCTGAGGATTCGTTCTCATGGGCTTCTCGCGGTTGTCGTATTGCTTGGGTTTGCGTACACTCCGGCTTCTCCAGCTCCTGTTCCTATTCCTCCTGCTCCATATGATATCCCGTCAATCTCTCATTTTCCCGAAAGTAGACATCCGCATGATATCCCGCGACTTTTGTTGCTCCACGACTTTCCAGTGAAGAAGACGGAAGGGAAGGCTGTGGACGACTCACTGAAATTAGCTAGGCAAAAGTACAAAAGTCTGATGAAATACATTGAAGGTGCGCCCACTTTGGTGTCCTCCGCCTTTCCCGTGTGTGTCTGTGAGTGGACCACCCGCTTCTTCTTCTGAGTAGTCTCCCTATCTATTTCGTCGTCTTTCTCTGTCTCTTAATGGCGTCTTCGCGCACACATCTGCTTCCCCAGAAATCTTTCTTTGGTCCGGATTCGAGTAATGCCTCTTCATCTGGGAGGCTCACTTGTTTGCCGTTAGTATGCGGCTGGCTCATGCTGTTTCTATTTTTCATGCTTCTGTCTTCCTGAGGAGCACACGAACTCCACGCGAGTCGGTTGCAAAATAAGGATTGCCTGTCTCTGCAATGCTAAATATTTTGTCTCGTTGCACTCTGCCGTCTTTTCTACTGTTACCAACAAGTGCTAGCCTTGCGGAGTGTGCAGACACGGAGAAAATTGAGGTCACTGCGTTGCCCATCTCATCTCAGCCTCAACTGTTCGCCTTCGGAGAAAGCGTGTTTCACTTTATTCTCATAATCTCTTCCTCAGTTAGACAGCGTGAGTCTGTTGCACTCCAAATTTCCGACCTCTCTTCTGCTGTGCATTTAATCTTACAGCCCAGTTTTTGACATCTATTCTCTTGTGCATTTAATCTGACAGTCTCGAGCCAGTTGTTCCAGGCACTGCAGGCATGCAGTTAATTGCCTTTATCGCGCACTTGAACTTGTAGTTGATATTGTCTGCTGCTACAGAGCTCAGGCTTGCTTCATCTTTTTCTCCTTTCTGTTTTTGTCCGGACATTGCCACTCTCCTTCTCACTTCTTGGGTGCCTCCTGCATTGTTCTCTCTTCGTTGCTATATATTTTTAACCTCTTAACGCTTGGTTTATGTGTCCAGCGTTGCATTTTGGATTGGCAACTGTTTTTGTGCTCAGAAATTCAGGAACAGACGGTAAAAGATATACTCATCTGGTTGGACAGCGGAGGTGAAGAGTCGCAAGGAGCTGATCACGAGGTCCACGGCTACCAGAAACAGCAGCAGCAGCAGCAGCAGCTTGCCGGGCTGCGCAAGGAACAGCCGCAGGAGCAGCAGCAACAATATTACTCACCGGTTGAAAAGAGCCGTTCGCTGATTCTGCTTCTAGGCCCTTCTGCCTCGCCGTCTTTATTGCAGCTTGCAGCTGCTGCTTTTGGCGCTGACGCTCTAGCTCCATCGTTTTTGCAACAGCAAGTTGCTGATGCATTTAATGCCATTTCTCCCAACAAGCTTGGCAAGAAACAACAGCAGCAACCGCATGGAACAGTATTTGCAGTCCGCGATTTGCTCAGTGGTCATCCTCATGTGGTCACTCCACTTTCAGAGGGTGTGCTCGCCACTTTCAGCTGTCTCCACAGCAGAAGTAGCAACAGCTGCCGCTGCGAAAAATTTATGCTTTGTTTTCGCTCAGTGGCTCCTGAAGCGCCATTTCCTTTGCGAGGGCCTCTCCTGCTGCTGCTGCTGCATACTATGCTGCAGATGAGTTGCTGCTCTACAGTGGAACGTATCACCTGGGATCTCTCCAAGTCGGCTGTGGTGGTCGGCACTGCGGGAAGGAAGTTCTGCCTCCATACGCCTTTCCTTTGCTGTTGGCGCCTCCTACTGCATTCGCCATAGAAAGCAACGTCCACAGCAACAGCAGCAACAATAACAATCGCACTAGCAGGATGGCACTTGCTTCCGCGTCGCAGACGAGGGGCAACAATCGAGTTCTTCTTCTTAGTGGGCCGGACGCCTGCAGTAGCACCTTCACCTCTCTCGAATCAATCCCTCTTAATGGATATGAATTCGTCAGGCTGCCGCTGATGCTGCTGCTTCTTTCATCGTAACGCGGGGCCAATGCTGCCGCTTCTGCTTGAACATTGGTAGAATCGACATGCTGTGATCATAATCCATGTTATTTACGTTCTTTATTGCGTGCATGAGAGGGGCGTGGGCCAAAGGCGCTTAGGTGGATTTGTGCAGCTGCAGTGGATGCTGGGTAGGATGCCTCCTTAGCGATATCTGTGGAGGCCTGCCACCTGTGCATCTTTGGTCTTCATTTTTTCAGAAAGTTGCGAATGATAGATTTTGCACAGAAGTAGTGGCCTGGGCCCTGAATAGGCGGGGAGTTCTCCGCTGGTCGAACGTCAAGCATCAGAAGGTTTGGGGGTCCTGCTGCTGCTGATGATGCCGTTGTAGCCATTCTTGGTTTTTCAGTAGCTACCGCTGTAGACTCTGGAGGCCACTTGTATTTGCAGGTGAAGCGCTGCTGGTTTCTTGCAGTGGATCCCATGGGGAGCGAAAGTGTTGATGCTCTTCCCCGTAATGCTTGTTTGAGATTTCACTTCAGGTGGGCAATGGAGACAGTCATATGTACACCGTCGGCGATCAGCTGCGCTTTTCGGTGGATCTCCATGAACTTAAAGGAGGCAAGTCTATCTTCAAACTATCGTTCGCCAGGTTGTGCCGGCTGCCATCCGTTTTTCAAAGTGCCCTTCTCTCAAAAAGCTCCTATTGCGTTGCACCTGCTCCTCTGTGCTGACATTACTGTTCGTGATTTATACAGGACAGGTTTAGAGCGAGGGATGCACGATTTGATGCTTATTGTACTCAGGTTCGTGGCACCCGTTCGAGGGCAATGATGTTCAGCTAGAGTATTCGTTGGGCGATCCTCTCATTCGTCGCTTTCTGCAGAGGCAAAACGCAAGCCCCACTTTCTCTACCGAATTTAAGGTACCAGCTAATGAGACAAGGTGTATACACGACGTTAGAGATCAGGAAGATTTGGTTGAAACTCTGGCATTAAGGAGAGTGAAATGGAAGTGACGCCGACAGTGCTTACTTATTAATGATGTAAAAATATAACCTTTAGTACTTTCTAATGATAAAATTAACGGTAAAGAATCCACCACATGAGATAAATACTCCTTGAGGAAGTGTCTGTTTACTTGGGTTATTGCATTCACAGCTATTGTGTTCCAAGTAACACAATAGCTGTGAATGCAATAACCCAAGTAAATAGACACCATGCTTTCGAACCATAAAATTCAGCCAGGGACTGTTCTATTTGTAATATGGCACGCGCATGGATTCAGTGTCCATTTATTAAACCCTAGGAAAATCCACAAATTCACCGTGACTCCTGCTGGCTAGCAGATGTGCCAGAATGCTTCTGTGCCCTAAGTGCCAGCTTTCATATTGTGACCAAAGAACGACTATTCAAGGTCCACAGCAGGCAGGTGGTTGGACGTTGTCCATGCCTTTTCAGGCCCCCGACAGGGCAGGGATTCTCAAGTTCGTGCTGCGTCACGCACGGGTAGGATATAGCTCTCTGCTTATGCGTAAGTTTATTTCGACTTTCTGAGTCTTTTAGGCAAGGCTTTGGACAGAAAGTTCAATACGGTCACAGGGCGAACGTAAAATGCGTGGGTCCGCGTTTGTGAGGATGCGCTGCGCAGTCACTTCTTCCTTTCCGTAGATCTTTGTCCGTGCATTCGGTGTATGTATTCGATTTACGGCAAACAGCATGAGGTTATGGATGTTGTGCCCACTCGTAGTACGACTGCACGCCGACGTCTCAGCCATGCACGTGGAAGCCTATGCTCAAAGAGAGGTGTGCGTGAAGGATGTGGCGTGGCACCACGCGGCACCAAATCATACGCTGTCCCAACCAACTTTCAGGGGGAAGATATCATTCTCAATTTTACTTAGTGAAGCGGTGAGCACTATGGTGCAGACTCTTTGGCTCCTTTAAGAACTCCGCGTTTTGATGCGGCTGAGAGGTTCCATCTTGGCGGGGCGTTCTACTACTTCGTGGTGATTGTCGTCCTTCTCGGTAAGTCTTCCCATATAGGATGGCGCCCTCAGTGCTTCAAAACTGTGCTTGGGGGCCAGCGTCGAAGTTTTGCATGGCGAAGCTTGCGTCTGGCTTCGTGGTTCGAGTCGTGTCCGTACTTACTCAGGGACTTTTCTGCTTGTCGTCATGCTTATATATGGAGTAATTCCATTAACAGCTGTTCCAAAGGACAGGAAGGGGCTTTAACCAGCATCAACACCCCGTCACTGGCGTAGCGTCCTGGTGTGAAGGAACGGGTTTGACGTGTTACGGCATTTTTCCGCCGGGGGGCTTGGCAACAATTCAGACAAATTTTGGTTTTTCAAAT